ACTTTCTCTTCGTGAAACTCAGCCAGAACTAGAATTGGTCAGTATTTGAGATAGACCAAGTGTTTATTCTTTGCTCCCTCTTACCTTTGAGGGACCGACTCCACCGGGGTATAATCTAGCATGTAGGCGGATGGCGATCTCCTGTCGCACTTGCGAGATGAACCTAGAATCGCAAACCCCCGTTAGCTAAAATTGTTCTGTAATATATAGCAGCGAGAATCTCACTGGCGAAGAGTCTCGGCATCCTGGCGGTCGCGCGGGGCCTCAAAGGCCTGGTTAAGCGGGAACGACACATCACCGGGAATAGCAAAGCTATCGAGGGCGGCGTTGGTCAGGGCCTGGAAATATGATTGTCAATGATAGTTCTGCTATATCGGGTTTTGATATATAATGTCAAAATTTACCTTCTCCGCATCACGGGCATTCATAGTTGGCTTGACCTTCCCGAGGCAGTCGCTAATAAACAGAGTTCCATAAATGAGCATGCGGTCCGCGGGGCCATTGATCTCGAAGTTGCGGAACAGGACATTGGCACGGAAGAGCGATAGGATTTCATCGACACAATCATATGATTCACTTTCTGGCGACACATCAAGGTCGTCGGTGTTGGGAAGCGGGGGCAATGTGTATGCGGGGCCACGAGTACGGGTGCGGAGGGGAAGAATAGGGAAGTTTCCTAGTCAGGAGATGTTCTATGGTCAATTTTGGTCCCTGAAATGTCGATTTATAGCTCAGGAATTGCTGCGCTAGACTGAATAGGAGCCACCTACCTATCACGGGGACATCGCGGTCCTCCAGGAAGATGGAGTGGTATGCCTGCATTGAGGGTTAATCAGGGGATTTGAGGCACATCTGAAGGTATCAAAACATACAGGCATTCTGAATATGTCAAAGAATTAAATTGTAGGAAGTTCAAATCAAAGAGACCATGGAGGGGAAGAGACGACCGTGGAGAGGTTAGGCAGTTGAGGGATGTCATCTGTGGAGTCCCCAAGCTCCATGATTTTCCGCCCCGAGCCTCTTTACGCGCTCCACGCGTCAACCCATTTGGGTACTTTTCGCGGTTTACCTGCTCTTCTTGATACTGTTGATATTGATTATTTACCTCTATTCAAGAAACCTTCATCATGTCAGACTACGAGGATGAAATGGACGTGGATGCGCCCAAGGACGTGCAATTTACCTCCGACAACGCGAGTGGAAAAAAGAGAACTGTTGCCGATCTACCAGTCGAAGCTCAAGATAATTTGCCATGGTGAGTTTTAGGATTTTGTATCAATTGTGTTCTCTATCACTAACCAACTTATCAGGGTCGAGAAATACCGACCAAGCAGCCTAGATGATGTCTCTGGCCATCAAGACATTCTCGCGACTATCAACCGATTCGTGGAGACAAATGTAACAAATACCTATGATGATCGATGTACGATCGGCTCTGGTTAACACGTTCATACAGCGACTTCCCCATCTCCTCCTCTACGGACCTCCAGGAACCGGAAAGACCTCCACTATCCTAGCCCTAGCGCGGCGGATCTACGGCACCAAAAACATGCGACAGATGGTATTGGAGCTGAATGCAAGTGATGATCGTGGTATTGATGTTGTTCGGGAACAAATCAAGACCTTTGCAAGTTCGTAAACTAGGATTTTCTCGGTTTGGGCTACAAGCTTACCGTGAACACCTACAGGCACCAAACAGATCTTCAATATGGCCCCCCAAGGCACTGCTGGCTCCCCTCTGGCAGGCTTTAAGCTTATCATTCTGGACGAAGCCGATGCGATGACTTCGACCGCACAAATGGCCCTCCGCCGTATCATGGAGCGTTACACGGCCAATACCCGATTCTGCGTTATTGCCAACTACACACATAAGCTGTCCCCGGCACTCCTGTCCCGGTGTACTCGATTCCGGTTTAGTCCATTGAAGGAAGTCGATATCCGGACTTTGGTTGACAAGGTCATTGAGAACGAGGGTGTCAGGATACAGCCCGATGCGGTTGATAGTCTCGTGACGCTAAGCAAAGGTGATATGCGACGAGCCCTCAACGTGCTTCAGGCATGCTTTGCCAGCAGTTAGTACATTTCCTTTCTCCCTCACATCTAGCCCAATTGACCATTGTTATCTTTTTTAGGTATCCCGCTGCCGATGAGAGACGCTCCTAAAGCCCCTCGTCCCGAACCCGAGACAGTCACCAATGCGACGATCTATGACTGCATTGCCGCGCCGCACCCGTCCGATATTCAAGAAATCATGACCACCATTCTCTCCACCAGCGATGTCACTTCCTGTTTAAACACCGTGCAAACCCTCAAAACCACCAAGGGTTTGGCTTTGGCCGACATCCTCTCCGCACTAGCAGACCAACTCCAACAGCTCGAAGTCCCTGCTCAAACACGTATTACATGGCTTGAGGGACTGGCCGAGATTGAATGGCGACTTGCCGGAGGTGGTTCGGAAGCTATTCAGACTGGAGGGCTGGTCGGGGTGGTGCGAAATGGATGTGAGCTAATGAGTGACAAGGGTGTTATGGTGGTCTAAAGGACAAACGATACGATCTCAACATTTCTCCTGTTTTTTTCTTCATATCACGATATAAATGTAGTAACCTAGGTGGGGGAGTCTGGAGGCGAAAAGGAACGAGAATCTTCATTTTTGAATACGTTAGAACCTGATTATCACGGATTATCACGGAAACGTAGTAAACATACTTATATTATTGCCCCGGTTGTTCTAGGCCAGTATGTCAGGGTGCTAGGTAGTATACTAGTAGTATCCCTCCGCTATCGCAACTCCGTGGGCTACCGCGGAGATGTTCTCAGTCAATTAGCTAATTTTGAACTTGATGTTGACCAATCACTTGTATAATTTATTATAGTCCACTTGTTGTCCTCCGTTTACTTATCGGATTTCCCCGCTAAATTAACCATCGCTGTAGGGTTTTGAAGAAGATCCTCTGAGGGGAAGAGTCAATGGGTCTTGTCCGCAACCTTGGAAACTGACAGATAAGAAGAGGCTTGTACCCCGATTTTTGCTTCTCTTCCCCCTCCCCCTCCTCGGCTTGCCCTACTTTTGATTTCACAATGCGGTACTCTATCCAGTCCGGACTTTTGCTGGCTGCATCTTTGTCCCCTGTTGTTGATGCTGAGCGTGTGCTCGGTGCGTATATCTTTGCTCGTCATGGAGATCGCACACCAAAGGTCTTTGGTAACACTCAACTGACCGACCTGGGATACCGGGAGGTCTTTGATACCGGATCATTTTACAACGACCGATACATCTCGTCGAGCTCTCCCAAGCAGATCGAGGGCATTAGTTCCGATGTGGTCAAGCCAAAGCAGATCAGTGCCTCTGCTCCCTCGGATACCGTCCTGCAAAACTCCGCCACTGGCTTCCTGCAGGGTGTATATCCCCCTGTGGGGAAAGTGGCTTCCCAGACCCTGGGCAATGGAGCCTCGGTCGAGGCACCATTGAACGGCTATCAGCTCATTCAGCTGATACCAGCCACTACAAGCAAGAATGCCGAGGATTCCACCTGGTTGCAGGGCTCCAGTGGATGTCAGAAGGCCATGGTGAGCAGCAACAATTACTTTTCCTCCGAAATGTACACCTCCCTGCTATCCTCAACCAAAGAGTTCTATCAATCTCTTTCGCCCATGCTAGATGGGGCATTTGCCTCGTCGGATTTGACTTTCAAAAACGCTTATACTATCTTCGACTACTTGAACGTCGGCAAAATTCACAACTCTACCAGTCAATTCCCTCACAAGTCAGACCTGACTGATGAGGTTTACCACCAGCTGATTACTCTAGCTGGAAGCCATGAATTTAACCTAGCTTACAACTCCTCCGATAAAGTGCGCGCCATCGACGGTGCCGTTCTGGCAGGCGAAATCCTAGCCGGACTCAACGAGACCATCGCCACCAAGGGCAATACCAAGCTGAACATCGGGTTCGGCTCCTATGGCACCATCTTCTCTCTCTTCGGTCTTTTGCAGATGCCTGCCCGCTCCGTGGACTTCACCGGAATCCCGGACTACGCCTCGTCAATGGTCTTCGAATTGGTGACGAACGCCAGTGGCACCGACTTCCCGACTGACAAGTCCGACCTCAGCGTGCGCTTCATGTTCCACAATGGTACCATCACGGGCTCCTCTGAGCCTACTGCATACCCACTGTACGGCCAGTCGAGCGAGCTTCTCTCCTGGGACGACTTTTCCTCAAGGACCCAAGATATCGCCATTACTTCCAATGACGAGTGGTGCACCATGTGCGGCAACACCGACAGCAAGTGCGCCAGTTCAGCCAGCACCAGCAGCGACTACTCTGGGTCTGGTAGCACTTCTAGCACTGGTGGCTCGGGAATGTCACTCGCTGTAGCAGGTGTCATTGGTGCTATGGTTACCCTCGCAGTGATTCTTGGTCTACAGGCTATTTTCTTCCTACTCGGGGGATTCCGCATTGCGAAGCGGAACCAGGCTAATCCTGAAAAAATGAGCACAGCTGCCGCTATAGAGGCGGAGAAAAAGGTTTAAACTGTTTGGTTTCTCCAAATGGATCAGACAAATGGGTGAATCCCGAGTCTGTGACTCGCTTGATATGCTGTCTGGTATGATTTACCATGCGTAATGAATGTATGAAGATGCAATGATAACTTGAATCTGATTTTGGAACTATACAGTCCAACATGGATGACATGAACATGGATGACATTGTTGAAGGCCTAATAAGCATCTTGCATGTAACTGTATCGGGATCTTTGCATCCCATACCAATTTGGTTCAATTTTCAAGTTCAATCCCTGTCTAGATCAATGAATATAGTATTTTCCAAATAATATCCATCTCTTCATCCAATGTGGTAAACATCACGACATCCAAATATCAAGACAACCTCGGAAGTGACCATCCCGCAGATTCACCGCCTTGAGCCAACAACACCTCGAACCTCCTCAACTCTCTTCTCTTTGCTCTCTACTCTCTACTCTCTACTCAACCCCAAAATGCCTCGCCAACAAATCAATTTAGAACCCTACCGGGATGATATCATCACTCTCTACCACCATGGCATCAGTACCGATGCTATCAGCAGCACCCTCGAAACTTGTCATAATATCCAGGTCAAGGAACGAACCATCCAGTCCCGCCTTCGCAAGTGGGGCATCCGCAAGCGACATCGGACAACGACAGGCGACGAGGCTTTACATGCGCGCATTAAGATGCTGTTCATACAAGATAAGCTGACCGATAAGGCTATGCTGAACATATTGCAACAAGAAGACTATGGTATCTCTGAACGCACTTTGCGCCGTCTGCGGTTTAAGTTAGGACTCCATGTGAGGACTTCGGAGCAGGAGCAGATTGTTGTTCCACGGCCTCTACCAGAAGGGCCAACGGTGTGAATCTGGCTGGCTAGAACTGAAGCTTAATCTTCCGCTGGCTCCCATCGAGCAATACCCCATATGCGACACATCATGACAAATTATCAGTAATCTCACCCTACGCGACAACGCTGGACTACTTCCCATGCGACTCACCGGCGACTGTTCATATCTACTCCGGTAGTGATGATTTCAAGACTCCATTTTCTTGGATCGTCTCCAGCCGACATGTCGGGTTGGCCTCTCAATAGTTAGCTGACTCAAGTCTCGAATTTGCAACCGACAAAATCTTTGCCGATGCCAAATATCTCCTTATAAAACAAGACCTTGCAGTGACGATTCGGTGGGCCAGGGGAGTTGATCTTCATTGAATCATCCAACCACCTCCCAGCATTCACTGCCACCAAACACCAAGCCCGATGGGAATTCTCAGTATGTCCACCAGAAGATTTATTGGTTCTCGCTGCTATTGATGATCCCCAAATGCAAAAAAAATTGCCCAGCGCTCAACCTCATATCTCATGTTGTCAAGCTAGTCACAGATGCTTTGGGTCTCATTCTGCCACTGCGGGAAATATTCAAAATGTGTCATGTAGTGTTGGATTCAAAAGAAATGATGCTCATTTTTGTTTTCAAGTAATTTTATTTTCGTAAACAATGTCGTTGGACACCCAGTAAATAAGGGCTAAATCAGTACCACGTGACATGACGTTTCTTTCGAGCTTTGATCAGAGAAACCAACCCATTGAAATCGCAACACTCAAGAGGGGTGTCCATATCCCCAAATACACTCCAGCTCCTCGCTCTACCCTCGCTTGTGGCACGCGCCGTAAGCCGGTAGCTTACTTGTCCATCATGTCCTCCCAATACGCCAGCGAGCCCAATCCCACTGCGTCGGCCACACTCAACACGACGGTTGGCCCTATCCAGATCGCACTCTTCGCAAACCAGGCCCCTCTTACCTGCAAGAACTTCCTCCAACACTGCAAGGACAACTACTATGTCGACACAATCTTCCATCGCGTGGCCCCCGATTTTGTGATCCAAGGTGGTGATCCCACCGGGACTGGCTCCGGCGGAACGTCTATTTACGAATACCCGGAATTCGAGTTTGACCCTGAAGCTCGGGACCCGGAAGAGCGCGTGGTCCTACGCGATGAGCTGCACAGTCGGCTACGGTTCAATCGACGTGGCTTGCTAGGAATGGCCAAGAGCGAGGACGGGACATATGGCAGTCAATTTTTTATCACGCTAGCGAACACGGAGCGTGAGTTGAATGGACAATGTACAATTTTCGGGAGACTGGAAGGGGACAGCATCTACAATGTGTTGAAAATTGCAGACGCGGAGCGCATTGCGGGCACTGAGCGCCCTGTTTATCCCATTAAGGTGACATCTTGCGAGGTAGGAGAACTGGGGCCATTGGAAGGCAAGTTAAAGGACAGAAAGACAGTTTCAACTGCCGAGAAAGCAGAGAAGGGTGCGCCTAAGAAAAAGAAGAAGGCCCCTAAAGGCGGGAAGACGCTTCTGAGCTTTGGAGACGACGGAGACGAAGAAATGCCCATGCGCCCAGCGAAGCCGAAATTCAACACCAACTTAGTCGTGGATGTGCCAGGTGGAAAGCCCGAAATATCAAAACCCAAACCCCGAGCAGAAGCCCCAACACAGCCGCGCAAACGGCCCCGCTCGCCATCTCTAGATCGATCACCGTCTACAGAGCGTAAAAAGCGCCCAAAGTCACCAGAGCCAGAGGCACAACTCCCCCTACCTGACCCTGAGTCGCCTACTCGGTCTCCAACCCCAGATGCCACACCCGCAAAAGAGTCTAAGTTGTCGCGGACAAACGCTCAGATTGCGGCTCTGATGGCATCAATGCGCCGCGACGTCGACATCGGTCCTAAGGACACTGGCCGAAAGAAATCCGCCCTCGAAGCCATGATCCCTGAGACCTCAATCCGAGGACGGAAACGGCCACCTCCAGGGACTGCAAATGGCTCGAGTCGCAACGGCACAGGGCCTAGTAGCGCCGCCGAGCGAGAAGCATTGCAGCTCTTCAACGCCTTCAAGGCCAAGCTTGAAGGTGCTAAACCCGAACCTACTACCACAGCATCACATAACAAAAACAGCACCGACAAAGGGACCGAAAACCAAAACGACGAAGAAGACGAAGAAGCCCAACTCTGCGACCTGCACTTCATTGCAAACTGCCAATCCTGCCAGGCATGGGACGACCCGGAGGCAGAGGCGGCAGATCCCGAACAACAAGACGGAGGTTGGCTCTCGCACGAACTCCGCTTTGGGAAAGATACCCTAGGCAAAGACTTGAATTGGAAGCGCGAGCACGGAGGCGAGGCAGACTCACTGATGGTGATTGATCCTCGTGAGCGAGAGAAGGAGGTGGTTGGACGCAAGCAGGGATTCCAGCGCGATAGAGAGCGCGAGCGTAAACGGGAGCGAGTGGGTGACTTGGAATGGGATAAAGGGCGCTGAATATTCTTATTCTTCTAATGTCATTTGTTTCAATCCTAACTTATCAATATTTTGACCCCTGACCCCCCGTAAATCTAACCGGAACCGTGTACTCCGTTATCATGGTGTGTTTCTTTTAACCATCATTGGATATAGGGATGCAATGCTAATAACTAATCCTAGGAGTCTCTGGAGATGGTAGTTGGATATAGATTTAATTAGATTAAAGACGTTGATTTCTACGAGGATTATACCGTAGTAGCTAAACCGATATCCTTCAAAGTATTCTATATAATTACAGCTACTTTAAACTAGTTTCTTTATTATGTGGATATTAAGACTATATTGTTGGCAAAGGAGATCCTTTCTTAGGAGCAAGCAGAGAAGGTTCTCTCTCTAGGGCTTCAGGCTTAATTTTGGACTATATCATAAGATATGCGCCGGCATTTGTTACCAGCCAGTTCTTTGAGCAAAAGAGTGCATTAAAACGAGAATATTAAGTACAGAGAACACAAAATTCAGCCCGCCGTTGACGATCTCGCCATGGCCAGCGTAGTAGAACACAACGAGGCATTGCTGTTCCGTTTCCTCGCATTCAAGAGCAATTTCGCGGGTGTGTTGGCTGAGTCTCCATGTTGGTCGCATATCTGTCTTCCTTAGAATATAAGATTCATGCTAGATGCTGAAATCTTCCATTAAGTTGGCCATAGTGGTAACATCGTCTTTGGCTGGCATATCGACGACCGCTTATGAGTCGAACCGTATGGAGTGAGGTAGCCGCTTATGAGGCGAGCTGACAATCACCGTAAATGCAATGAATAGATGAGATCAACGAAGAAGAATGATAGATCGTGGGTAAAAGGAGAGGGCCCATAACCTAGTAAACGGAGAGAGAGAGAGAGAAAGGTAGTTAGTTAGAGGGAGCTACTTATATAGGTGGTGGCCAGCCTAATATTATGGCCTGAGCAATCAGGTGTCCACACGACCAATTGTGCCATTGGCACATAACTCTCTCTTAATTTAGATCTACTCTCACTTTAACAAAACCTGAAGTGAATCTGAACTAAATCTGAACTGAATCTGAATCGAATCGGAATCGAAATGAAGAAAGGGTTGATGGAGTTAGAAGATCACATTGAAAAATGGACCTGAGATGATATTTTATATGATAGTCTCTGAGTGTTTTATATGTTTTATAGGGTTGAGAGAGCGTTGACTCTTGGGTAATAACATCCAACAGGACATGGTCTGTTTCCCTCGTCCCTCCTCCCCTCTTCTGCCCTCTTCTTTCTTCATCTATCTCGTCGTCTGTTTACTAGTTACTTCTTGGGTCTTGAATGGCCATTCCACGGTACTTCATCTTCCGTACATGGCCCAACCCCGATGACAAAAACGTCCAACGTTGATTCATTGAGTCCTCCTTATTAGCTCTAACTCTTCTCTTATCTTCACCACCTCTTCGATTTTTCATTGTGCTGTTGACGTTGAACATTTATTTTTCCTTTAGATCCTCATATCGTATGTCCACATTGTGAGTGCTACTCGTGAAATCAGGTGGACTTGGTCTCAGGATACTAACTTGTTCAGGAAAATGGTGTGGAGGTGACCGACGCCTACGAAACAACCCAGTCCATTTTCATCCTTCTCAATATGTCCTGGGAATCCTGGGCTATGTGGACAATGGTAGCAGATCTTGAATTTGTAGGGATCACCCGTGGCCCCTCGCTACTCTAGCCACAGCCAGTAGCAGAGATTCTGGTTCGAGCATTTGGGGAGAATCGCCGGCCTGGTGAGACAGAAAACACTAAGTAGGCTACAGGCTCGCACCTCAGTCAAAGGGAGACGTGCAAGTGTGGTTTTTCACTTTGCTTATTTTTACACTTTGTTGTTTGATCTCGGATCTCGGGTGATCTGCGGGTGTGTCCACTTATCCTGAGACATTTTTTTATGTTGTATATGTTTTATCAGCTCAAAATTGATGCTCGGGACTTGAATTGCTGAAGAACGGATAGTCTTTCTGTAGTGTAGTGTAATACTAAGAACTTGTATACTCAAGAATCAGTTAGCTGGAAATGCGTCGACAAAGGATCTAAAGGATTTTAAAATCATCATGCTACGTCTTATATCAGAAGGTAAAGCAAAGGTATCTCATTAAATTTCCAGTAATTGGATCATTCATGGATCATAATAGGTTTTTACAGCCTAGTCATATTTTCCCAGACAACGTGAATAAATCCCATATCAACAGGAGAACGCCTAATTGTACGCCGAGAAGTTTTGGTTCCATCCAAGCCCTAACCCGTGCTTGCCAATCTTCTCCGTCTGGTATTCCTTGCGCCGTCGACAGAATCACGCCTTTCTGCGCCGTTTCGTCGCACTGCCACCATCATTTATACCTTCAGCTAGATTCTCCGTGGCTGCGGGACTGGTGGTTTCGCTATCCGTTAGCTGTTCGATGACACGCCCAGATTCATCGTAACCGACACCGTCAAGACCATAGTGGTAGGCGGAATCTCCCTGTCCATTATGAGGAGTTTCAAAGAGATCAGGCT